GTTGGTTCAATTCGGGCATGGATTCGCTAGGTAATTGAGAGTATACCTATGTAATTCTTTATATCTTCTTAGTGGATTGTTTTGTGGCTGTTACCCGTGGTTTTTTATCACAATTGGAGGTGCTCCAATTGTAGTTTTTCCATGTTAAAATCGTTGTGTCGATTTGTCTTGATTGTTTGATTGGGATTGTTTTATTGCTTAAAATTGATACATAATCACAAATCAATATCTAGGGGATTTCTAGATTTTTCAATTTCTTTCTTTTGCACACTCATTGGCGACTACATGCTCAAGAGTATGGAAACCGAACCAGAGAAGCATGGAGATAATAAGGATAGCCTGGTTGGTGACTCTGAGGTAGCCTTTTCCTCATGCCTGGACTACAAAGAACAGAGGGGAAAGCCGTGGAGATGCAAAAAGATGGAAGGTGGTTAAGAGACTCAACATCACCCATAATATGCTAGTATAGGTCAATTCCTCTAGAAAAGCAAAAGATACAATGCCAGAAGTCCATAGAAAAAAAATATTCACTAAGGCGAGAACTACAATATTTGCTAATCCAAGAGTGTGTACAGAATGGGACATATTAATCAAAGAAAACACACTCCGAAATAAGTAATGACCACAGAAGTACACACAATATTAACATGTAATGGATATTCTCATCAATTCCAATATGCACCAAGGACCACTCAAAATTTCAAAACTTGCAAAACTATACTAAGAAAATCTTTTTGGATATTTTTTTTTTTCTCTTAACCAAAGCAAGAACAAAAAATGAACATGCACACATTTTTTTTTTTTATGCTCGAGCGAAGGGTGCGTGGCTCGAGCAAAGCCACTTATGGAAACACGCGTTTTTGGTTTCTCGCTCGTGCGAGAGAGTCTTCGCTCGAGCGAGTCCACGGTCCCAGATTTCTATAAGTATTTGCTTTTGTCCAAAACTAGGATTACTGCTCCAGATCTTCTTTTTGGATATTAAGGTTTATATCTGGGGATATTTTGCTAGTTTTCTTTTGATGTTTTGATTGAGTATTCAACTCATGATTTAAAGAGTATACATCAAATGATTATTTGTTTGTTCTAAAAAAAAGAGAGAGTTGTTCTTCGATGGATTCTGAAGAATTCGAGCCTGAAGCTTTGGTGGATTTGGAGTGGCTCATCGTCAAGACAATTCCAAGGTGAAGACGGGGTGGAAGAGGCACATAGGGGTTGGTTCAATTCGAGCGTGGATTCGCTAGGTAATTGGGAGTATACCTGTGTAATTCGTTTATATCTTCTTAGTGGATTGTTTTGTGGCTATTGCCCGTTTTTTTTTATCACAATTGGAGGTGCTCCAATTGTAGTTTTTCCACATTAAAATCGTTTGTCGATTTGTCTTGATTGTTTGATTGGATTGTTTTATTGCTTAAAATTGATACATAATCACAAATCAATATCTAGGGGATTTCTAGATTTTTCAATTGGTATCAGAGCAGGTCGTTCTTTTTTTTATAAAAAATCTTTTAGAAGAGATCTTGTTTGATTTGTGATAATGGACTCAATTCGTGAGGAAATTCTATGGTTCGACCACCCCTACTTGACGGATCCTATTATTCGTTTTGGAAAGCTCGGATGAGATCGTTTTTAAAATCTATTGATGAAAAGTTTGGCAATCTGTCATGTATGGGTGGACTAACCCACGATTACCATTGATGGAGTAACTTTCCCAAACAATTGATAAGTGGGACACAATTGATTACCAAATAGTA